ATTTGTATTAAGTGAAATATTCACTATATTCTTATTTATATTCTTATTTAAATATAAATAAAAATAATTATTATGTTATATTAATAAATAACATGTTATTAGCACCATGCTTACTTTCTTTAATTATTACTACTGACATTCCTTAATAAATTATTGGTCACAGTCTTAACATCAGACAGTTAATACCATAGTTAAATACAAAGGCATATTATTGTATTGAGGCTAGTTGAGTCAGTGCACTTGGGCACTTTTACTCTCTAGTAACTGCGAGGTTTCTTCATAACCCCCATCAAGGCGTAGACTTGATTGGATTATTGTTTATCACATTATCAGTTTAAGCAATAATTGATCTGAGATCTGCATACCGCTCCGAGGAACCTGTAACCATTCTGAGATTCGATAGCGCGATGTTGGTAAGCCCGTCAGTTTTCGCTGAATTTCAGAGCTCTATCCTTTATGTATTTTTTAATCGGATCAATCTTGAGGACCTTGAGGATGTCATTTGTCCTAATGTACCTTGAGGTACCTTGAAAAGTCTTCTCAGAACCTGGCTTTGTGGAATTTCTAGCTAGCGAATAGTAGTGTTTGAGGCTTTGCTAAACGTTACACATCCATATAGAAATGACGTTCGAATTATTGAGTATTGAGATTTTCATTTTTGAATAGTGATTGGAAGTGATGAAGAATTTTGGCATAGCTAATTCTTTTCAATTGAACATGTTTAAGTCATGTGAATCGTTTGTCCATTGTGAATATAAGGGCATATATTTTTTTAACATTTGTTTAAAATATTCTTACATATTATAAGTAAAAAATTCTTCTACAACTCATCTATTAAATGTTAAGACTTTCTTTTAATAATGTTTTCAAAAAGTAATTAACCTCCTTAAGGATAAACAATAACAAAGCCAGCTAACTTCGCACATTGCGCAGAATCCAAATGGCATGACCGACCATTCACTCTGTTTTATGCTTTTTATTTTAACGAATAATCCATTTTATAAATATTATATACAATTTTTAATATATTAACTCAAATTTAGAAGTCCTATAATATCTTTATGACTTTTATTTAAATATAAAATAACAATATATAGTTTTACTCTTAAAGCCTTTAAATGTTTACCTAAGGAAGTGCAGCATTAACCGCCACGTTATCCTCGCTGCATAACAACTTCACGTGCACAACTTCACTTAAATGTTTTTTAATTGAATTCATTTTAAAATTGTTTTTGCACTTAAAGAAATAATAAAAACATCTATTATTTACACTATTCAATTAATTATTTATTATATAATATTTAAATTAAGTAATTTATTTAGAGAAGAATCACATAAGAATAGTACACAAAACACCGGCGAAACGTCAAATAAAAAACTGATGAGTTCGAATGAGGAAAGTGTGAAGCGACGACACCACCCGACAGGCGTACAACAAAATGTTAACTGTAAAGGATATTGCATGAATGGGCAGGCAAAGTAAGGATTATTTATTGTTGGGCTTTTCATTAGGGTGACCATGCGAATAATATTTTTATTTTGTCTTTTAAACATTGAAAAGGTTTATATAAATTTTTTTCCAATTTTTATTCCCTGATTTTATAAGAATCAGCTAGCAATTAATTTTTATTTTATATTTATTTTATATTTTTATATTATAACTCATTTTATATAGAAAACAAAGTTAAGATTAAATAAAAAATATCACAGTTGCTAATTTATGTAATATATTTTATTAACAGATATTTCAGTCTACTTCGGAGACCATCTGCAATGTTACAACACTGAATATGAATATTTTTTTTTTGGTGCTGTTAGCTGAATTTTTAAGTATAAATTCATTTCACATGAATTAGTGAATGGATTTACTTTATAATTTCAATAAATATAATTTATTCGTGCAATTGGTATATAGTATGATATTTTCAATATAAGTTGCCTACATTAGTAAATCATGTTTAAACTATTTTAAATATTTTTGTATTAAAAATTATTTTTGTTCTATGACAGAAAATCTATTTCGAACGGAAAAGAGGGTAATAGTGAGAAAATTGTCAACTCCAAAATTATTTTTAATATACAATCAAATTATAACTGTTTAGGATACCCCCAAAAATCCAACACTAGCCGTCTTTAAAATATCTCTTGGTTTATTGATCCGTATATAGTTTTTTGACAGCAAGTGTTAGAATTTAAAAAAAAAGGATGAATAGTGAGAAAATTTTCAAATCCAAAAATATATTTTAATTTTAATCAAATAAATATTTTGATTTACCGTACTACAACTGTTTCAGATACCGCTTAATATCCATCATCTATAGTATTTGGTAACATTAATTTGTTTAATAGTTAAACCATTGATTAGCATATTAAAACACAAAGACAACGTATACTAAGGTTAGTTTAGATTAAGTTGTACCGGCGATCCTAAAGAATCAAAAGGGATACAGAGGTTTAAGAGTTTTAGAACCACCTTGATAAACGTATACTTAATTTCACTTTTAATGCAATTTTCATTGGCAATTCTAAGTCTCGGGCAAAATGTATAACATTGAAGATTACATTTATAATACTCTAAATATTTCTCCAGAGTAGCAAAATTACACTAAAATTAAAAACTGTTTTATATAACTACAGATAAAGTATGATTTTATCCGACATAATGCATAATGTATGTATATGGTATATGAAAAATATAAATGCCTCCAAACACATACCTCCTTTAAAAATGCTGTTTTACTTTTTAAACGTTCGATTGGTCAACAAATTTAACAGATCGAGAGTAAATCTAGATTGCATCTAGATTTATCAATCAAAAACATCATTAGTTGTCAAAGGTTAGTAGTTCCAAAATGTAAACCCAGTTAATTCTTATAACGTTATTTTTACAATTTATCTAAAAATTTATTTTATGGCCAAAATTATTATTTTGTTATATTAGACTATTTAGTCAATTACTTTTGTCGTCTTCAGTAAGACAACTTTAGATTAAAATCGAATATTAAAAAAAAAAATACAAATGAGTGTGATATAATTCAAAATGTTTAATTTTTAATTGTGATAATTTTTAATTGAAAGTAATTGACCAATTAGGCCAAATCAACACAAGTAACGTTACAATTATTAAGTGAAGTTATATATATGAGTTAATTGTATGTAAATTACAATGAACACAATATCACTTATATATAGTATATCGTCAAATCAACATTATCGCCATATTTTCGTTTTACATATATATATAGGATTTAAAATATGTTTTTTAATTTTATATATTTAATATTAACTTTAAACTAAAACAGTGACGGCATTTTCAGTATATTTGTTGGCCACCCTAATTGCTTTGTTATGATTTCGTTGTTGATAAGGGTTGTGTAAGTTTACTTTCAATCTTGTGGGGTTGCTACAACGACAGTTATGCCAATAACAATCAACACAACATGTCTTCAGTAGGGAATTCGATCATATAAATACCGGCATTAATAATCCACAATCCGCTGCATTTACAATGGGGTGTTTGTTGGTCCCATAAGTAATGAGGGGATGGCATTTGTTTACAACTTGTGCATGCAACTTAAAGCATGCGCACAGGAAATACTCATAAATACGTTAGAAACTTTCTTGAGAAAATATGAAATCAGCTACCAGGGATTAACACAATCCAACTTTGGTGGTTATAAAAGCGAACGGTTCGGATTTTACTGTGTTGTCTATGTAAAGAAATAAACATTCAGTTGGTAGCCAGGATGTGGCAACAATAACAATGTTCAAAGGCTTATTAAGCTAGTAGTTCCGGTAACCACTTAAACCCAACAAATCTTAATCACTAATTTAATACTCAATTATAAATAAAATATTACTTATAATTCTCAAATCTACTACATGTACAAATAATAAGTATTGTATTTTTCCTATGATATATTAAAGTTCAATTTATTTTTATATAATTACTTTACATTTTATTTATAAATAACAATTTGCGTTTTATGTTTGCTTATACATTAACACAATACCATCGTCGCTGGTATTGCATTCCTTCATAAAAACAAACTTTTCTTTTAAACATAAATGTTTAATATATTATTAAATTATTTAAATATAAATTAAAGAGGCTACTGAAAATTAAATAAAAAGAGTAATACTTAAAAAAATAAATATTTACAAGTTTTAAAAGAATAATAATAATAAAATAATAATTACAAATAATTTATCTGTTTGAGAGAGAAATATATTTAGGATAGCTGCGTTTTTAATCTCAAAAAGGCAATCTGAAGTCCAGTTCAAAAGTTGCCAAATATAACGGATTCCTTCACATAATTGCTGTTACTAATTTTTATATATACATAAGATAATTTTTAAATTAATTATCATTTAAGATAAATAAAATATTATATATTTTAAATTTAAATTTCAATAAACAAATTTTAAATTTGCTTTCAAATTTTGTCGGTCTGCAACTAACAAGCATATTATTATTACAAGATTATTATTTTCGTCAGGCGAAATAATTCTTAAAAATACATGTGTAGTTATATATTTTATATTTATATATATGTTATATATATTATATGTATATAATACATGTTATTTTTAAATATGTATTCATATATATTATAATACACATATATACACATTTATATATTATTTGTATAAATATATTTATTTCAAATATATATGTAATAATTATTACATAAATATATAAATATATATTATAATAATAATAATATGTACAGATATTTATAAATTCATGTATAATACGAAGATATACATATAAATATCTATGTATATTATTATTTAAATATATACATACATATATATAAATAAAGATATTTGTTCTTATAGTTTTGCAATATTAGTAACAGACTTAACAAATTTTAAAATCTATAGATACTTTTACACATAAACAAAAACTGTTAACAAACACAAATTCAAATTTATCTTATATTGATTTAAATACAACTTTTATATTCGAAATTTTACTTAAATACAAAAATAAATATTTGTGTTGTTATTTGTCATGCATAATATTACTATATCAAAAACCAAATTAAAATAAAATTTAATAAAATAAATTTTTAAGAAACCAAAAATTATTTTAAATAAACTTCTAAATGTACTTAATATAACAGGTTAATTTTTAGCCCTCAAGCATTGGCTGCGGTCGATTTGAGCACTGTTCGATAACCATATATGCAATTTTTTTAATCTCATGATAAGGACTTGGATGATTAATGAGTTCATTTAGGATTTGTATGCCATTTTCTTGTTCGACAAGTTGACAATATTTTTCGGGATAGACCTAAATAAATAATGCTCAGTTTTAATATTAATTAATAAATAATATGTATATGTAAAATAATTATTTACCTGTGTTAAGTTAGCTAATGCCCAAACAGCCCAATGTTGACATTCTGGTGTTTCGTAGCATCGTACTAATCCTAAAATCGGTTCAAAACTACGATAATTTATGTTTCTTTCACTTTTAATATTCCAACGTTCAATAGCTTTCACCATTCGTTGCAGTACATCATTTCGTGAGGGTGATTCAACAGTCCATGCTTCTTGACCATCCGAAGCAATATGCGCCAAAACGCCAGCGGCATTATAGCTTACCTATAGATGAAATACATATTAATAAAAATTATTGAAATAATTAAAAAATTAACAATAAATTAAACGGTTTTATTCTATAATTGTGATAAAAATATTAATTTTTTTAAATTTACAAAATAAATAATTTAACTTATATTTACACAAATTCTTATTAATGTAATATAGGTTATATAGTTTAATAATATTATTTTTTTTTTTACAACTTATATTAAATTTAATTAGTTTTATATCTTTTTTATATCGAAATGACTTCTTTAATGGCGATTTTATATCTTATTTTTTTTTATGGATTCTTAAAAAATATAGACAGAAGCGTTTTAATATTGCACTTAGTGCAAATAACAAATAAGAGGTACGAATAAGTAATTTTGATTGGAAAATTTAAAAAGGGCGAATGTGAAAGCTCTTTTGCTACACGCTAATAGCTTAATAAACAAAATAAAATCAATATAAAACTACCTTAAGTGAAATTAACATACGTTAATAAATTTAAATAAATTCAAAACCTACCAATAATGTTTATGATTAACTAATTTTAATGATTACTAGAAGTTTGTTTACGAGATAGACCGAATTATATGTAATTAATAAGTATTAATAATTTTATATAATAATTCCATCAACAACTTTTATTGAACATTTAACGAACTGAAGCCCAAATATTATACGAAATTAATTATTTAAATACCATGATTTAAAAATTTATTTTTAAAAAAACTTTCTATTCAATACACGTCTTCGAACTTCAATGATACAAACATTTTGGTCTACGGTGAGAGCTACGGTTTACTTATAGGTAAATTAATAGAATATATTACGTCACCTCTTTGGTTTGATAGTTATTTATAAGTTTAAAAATTCATTAAAATTCTTAAAATCAACTTGTTATTATAATACACTAAATTATTTTCTAGACACTACATGATTTTTTTATTTTAAAAACATTTCTATTTTTTTCTTATTTTAGTAGTACTACTATTTTAAAAATAGTAGCATATAGATATGTATAATAATATATAATAAGCAATACATATTATTCTATAATATATAATATGTATATTCTATATATTTTATAAATATAATAGTATTTATATGTAGTATTACATATATTAGTTTATATATATTTAACTACTAAAATAAAATTATGACAATAAAATTTAATGTTAGGTTAGGTTTAAAAAACAGTCGAAGACAACTATGGCTTACTATAATACCCTTAAAGGTGAGTTACGCTAAGTAGTATTTCCAAAATATATTGTCGTGGTACTAAAGTTGCTACATTTTATTTATTGTCGTATTGATAAAATGCAAATAAAAACCGCAACAAAGAAAAATTAATTTCGTAATTTAATTCGAAAAATTCTTAATTAAGTGAGCTATTCAAAATTCAAGTAATAAAATATTAAATTTTTGACTTTCAAAATTTTCTCAACATAACCTCCTCTCTATTAGAAAATAGATTTCTTATCATTAGACATATACAAAGTTTTTTTATAATTTATTAACGTTATAAATTAAAACTAATTTATAGTATATTTAAAAACAAAAAAAAAAATTGATAAAACTAAATTTGTTATTAAATTACATTTACAACAACAAAAGTCAATCATTTACTTACTTCAATGCCATCACTTATTGAGTCTAACAGAAAAGCGAAGACTTTTATAAACTCCTGCGTCATTAATTTCGGTCTCAGTGATTTTACTTCAGCTACATTTCCTAAAAGGCCCATCATATTTCTAAGTAATTCTTCGTGATCAGGGAAAGTCTATATATAAATAATTATTTTTTTATGATTAATATATGTTATAACATTTTAAATATACCAACTGCTTACATTTAGACAACGTAAAAAGTATTCCATACCACGTCCATCTAAAAATCTTCTACAATTAATAGCAGTCTCATCAGTTACATTCCACATGGTTGACCATGCAACTTCCATGACATCATCAAATACCTTACGTATTAAACGATCCTTGATTAAAGTTAACATAACCTATAATTATTTAATAAGTTTATGAATAGTTTATGAAGCATAATATAAAATAAAAAAATACGAATAACATTTAAATTTTAAACTTACATTTACAACTCCAAGTTCACCTAAAAACAGTTTCTGTCTGCCATCAACTTGGCATGCCAACGTATTTAATAAATAAATAGCTATCCTTTGTACGAAACCTTCTTGTTCTGTCTTTGATACTCCATATAATAAAATCTTTATCAAGCGTTCGTATTCAAAAAGCTGCAAAAATTAAAAATAATAAGATATATATATATATATAATATATACATATAAAATATAAAAATTTGTATATAATAAGAAATTAAATAATGCGATTTCAATTTCTTGGACCCACAAATTTGACTACAGATTTTAGTAGTCAGCTACTTTGCGCAACTTTTTCTACTAACGCTAAATATCGATATAGTTATATCCCGATACAGAAAAAAGTTAAATAATAAACAAAAATAACTATTTTTTATTAATTAATTTTTAATCAATTTTAATTGAAACGAAGCTATAAATTAATAAGACTCAAATCAGTGTGTGCATTTTGGCAATAAAACAGATGAGAACACATTGGAAATTGACTTATTTAAAAGTAACTATAGCCTAACCTCAACTAAGCTAGAGACAGTTCTCATTTAACGAAGAAAGCATTTTTAAGAATCTGCTACAGTACCTAACAGTTATTCATCCTTTAAATATATGTCATAGCATATTTACATTAAAATAAAGGATCATGTTTTAGAAAGATTAAATAATAAGACAGCTATATTTTAAGATAAAGAGATCAATACCCTTTCACATAAACTAGTAATTTATATAGTATTTATATTTTAATAAATATAAGCAAACAGTTTAATTTTAAGTAGTAATATGAATAATTATGTAGCTTATAAGGAATACATAAATTAGTCAATGAGATGGATGGGACCCTGTAGTACCCCCAGCTATCAAAGAGTAAAAGTGCCCAGTTGTGCTGACTCGAAAAAAAAGAATCAACATACATACATACATATATGTAAATCAAACTCTTAGAAAATTAATTCTTAAACATTTTTACATATGATACAATTTCTGTTATTACATTTATGACATTAATTAGAACTGTATATACTTTTGTAATGAATATTTATATAAATTTGTAAATTTTTGAAACTCTAATATATATACATAAATATTCATTACAAAAGTATAAAAAAGTATATATATATTAGTTTATAAACCACTTATTACAACATTTTAACCGATCGAATAAAAATATAGATTATGAAAGATTAAAACTGAATCAGTGTATTTGGTATTATAAAAAAATAAATCAGAACATGATATACTTTTTGCTATGAATATTTGTATTATTTATATATATGTTATAGCATTTATTACAAAATTTTAACTGATTAGATCAAAATGATAAGATTTGTAAAAAACTACATTAATATGAAGAAATTTTAGATAAAATTCATCAGTAATATGAGAGCTTTAGGATATAATCAACTTTTTGAGAAGATATCGACAAATTTTAAATTCAGAGTACAAAGAGTATAAAGGGTTAATTTTATATATCTACCTTAAAAACTCATCACATAGTTTCGAACGTAACAAACATACGGACAGACAGACAAGCCTATGAATGTTTTCATAATACAAATTTACATATATTTACATATAATTGTAACTATGATGTCTTCAAACAATTTTAACTTTTTATTAGAGTTTCAAAAATTTACATTAAGAAACACAAACCTTAATTAATATTCTTAATCCTATATTCTTACCACATCACTGGGCATTTGAAACTGTGTTAATGTTAAATAACCATTTCTAAGCATTGTGTCATCCCCAATATGCGTTTCCATACCATTTAATAATGTACTTATTATATGATTTCGAAGAGGTGTTCCAAACTTAGAACGATCACGGCCTTTGACAATATAAAATAATGTGGCACTGTAATTATTAAAATCAAATGATAATTTTAACAAAACTTGATGATGATCAAAATGTTAAACAGTACCTGCCAGATATTTGCATATGTTTAAATTTTAAATGACGATCCATTGCGGTTAGAACGACATCAAGTGCGGTATGGATATCCTTACAATTTTCAAAGCGAAACAGATGGTAAAGATCATTCAGCACCTATATCAAAATAAAAAGTATTTAATTAAAACACCTATAATATATTAAATAATATATTAACAAACCCTCGTCAATAGTACTGGTCTATCATAATAATACCGCGCAGCTGTTAGTATTTGTTTTTCATTCGCATCACCAGCAATCTAATTGTTTTTGTAATGTTTAATAAAAAATTAAAATTATATATTTTGATATATGTTTACCTCTTTAGCTGGTATATCATGTCTCTTACATGCCCAATGTGCTGTATGATATAGTCCTAAAAATTGTAATGGTTTTTGTGTCCTTGTTGATAACCCTGGTATATCCGAATTGTGCTTTATATTAGACTCTTTAGTCGCTACTCCATTCCCAGCTAAATTCGTACCAGATATATCTAAATGTGTTAGATTAGGCAAATTCTCCATTAGCATTTCCAATATTTGGTCGGGCAAATCATAAGTCCCATGTCCATTTCCTGAACTGCTTATTGATATATCCAAAGTGCGGAGATTATGCAGACAGCAAATTGCATGCAATTGATTCGCAATTGGCCAGACATTGAAAAGTATAAGTGTATGCAGATGAGGTAAAAATGTTAAAGCATCCAATGAGAAATTAACCAATGTACACGATGTCAGATCTAAATGATTTAAGTCCACTAGATGTGCGAATTGTAAACGTTGGTGCATAACCACATTATTTAACACAAGTTTTCTCAAATGCGGGCAACTGAATTGAAAATCAATTGGTTCACTCGGTTTGGCATCATTTGGTTCAGCATCTTGCAATAGATGTGAACTAATGCCTAACTCAAGAAATCTCAGATTTTCACCAAAGCGTGACAGCAAATGATTGGATTGCGCTGTTATGCCATCACAATACCACATACTCAATGAGTACAGTTTGTGTCGCATTATAATTTCAAGTCCTTAAACAAAAATGAAAATAAAAATTATTTTATATACAAATATTTATATTTATAATAATTATTCAACTAAATTTTAATACAAAAAAAAAAAACATAAAAACTATTTTTAAATATTGTATAACATTATAATATAATTATTATATATAATTATTATATAAATACAATATTGTATTATATTATATATAATATTAATAATATAATATTACTATTAATAATACAATATTGTATATTTTACTTGTTGAAATATAAAACATAAAATATTTTTAGCCATCGTTGTATTTCAATTAGGGAATTATTTTTTATTTTAATATTTGATTTAAAAATTTTAAATAAAAAATTGTTAAATAACGATTAATATACGACTATCAAAATTTTTTTAAATAGTATTTTAATTTAAATAATTAATTTTTTATATACGAATTTATACTTAGAACAGTAGCATTGATATTTAAATTCCTTCAAATAATAAATTTTATTTAATCAATTATATTGATTTCGTTTCCATTGATTATATTGATCCCTTTTTCAAACATTATATTATCATTATATTATATTACTATCATTAGATTATATTGATCCCTTTTTCAAACAGATGCTATTCGTACACTATATGCTTCGAACTTCTATCGAGGTGGTCGAGGTGGTCATATAGGTCTGTCATTCGGACACTCTTTCATCCATTGTATCACAACGTGCCATTATTTATACTCAAGTGAGTTCTGGACCACAGAACTGTCACTCCAATTCAACCCAATGTACCCTTATAATAATGTTTATCCAAAACTGAATTCAATCAATAAATTTAAAAGTTTGAATTTCGTCCTTCGAACATTTAGATCGAACTACAAAGTAAAAGAGCTGCTCTTATTCTGTCATATTTTGCTATTCTCTTATATCAAACCATTTTTTTTTTCTTGGGTGATGTCACTCCAATAATATTCCCTTCTCGGTTCCACAAATTAATAATACCAATACATTAATAATACCAATCATTATTTGCCATTAAGTCTTATTTCCAAAAATTTGTATTATATCAATTGATTGTGCCCTCTTCTATGTCTCGTCGGTGTGAAGTTGCAAATGGGAATCCTTATCCGATTGGTGAGAACGGCAAAGATTACGAACTTCGACCTAAACTTTACGGATTCAGACGTCTTCAACAATTCTGTTCTTTATCTTTATGATACTACCAAAATAGTTGAAGGTGCTCTATACATTCAAAGTATTCATCAGTTTTGATATATATATATATATATTGAACCATGTAATCACCTCTCAAATTAATACACTTTACTTCAATTAACAATAAAGTAAAAATAACAATTTTATAAAAATCTAGTAACTGATACTGGTATAATATAAACGAACGATTAAACCTGAATACTTTCAAATAAAGAAAAATTAATAATGCATATTTCGAACTAGTCGAAACAACTGTTGTTGGATTACTGCTGGAAGGTGTGAACAGCATTTGGTCATCTATAAATAGAAATTTGGTATATAAAAAATAACCTAAGCACCCCTGAAACTGGCATATTTTCACTGGTTGCACAAACTTTTTGTATCTCCTACACAATTCTTTTACCACCTTTCCTACCCATTCGATTCGTATCATATGTACGATCTTTTGACCCATTAACATGTCTGATCAGCAGGTCCTTTATATGAGTTAAAATAGCAACAATGAAACAACTATTTTCTATAAAATTTTGTTTCGACATAGATTTCCTTAAAAATAACTAATTATTAAAACAGAAATTCTTTAGAATCATATATTTATTTAATAACTTTAGCGAACTATTATATTTTTTTACACACAATTTAAATTCTGTTTATAACAAAATATTTAAATTAAAACATCAATAATATTGTTCTATATTCTATTCTATGAAATATTCTTTAGCCAACAATGCTTTTTTTTTATTTCTTTATTATATTTGATCGAGATCTGAATTATCCACTTAAGCTTTTTTACACATAATGATGCTGTACAAAGTTCAAATAGTTTAAAATCATTGAAAAAGGTTTTCTTCAAGGACCTACCCCTTTTAAGTGACCAGGTTTCTTCGTCCTTCGTTCGTTTCAAATTAAGTTCAAACCATTCCCAATCCACGTCTATTCCCTTAAAACCACACCTCTCGCCTGCATTCGTTGTATAATGCCTTCATATTATCTGCTTACAGATCCCACAGGTTACAACAACAACAAAAAGGTTCTCAGTTTAAAAAGTTTAAATTGCTCTTTAACGAGATATCTTGTAACGGAGTAAGATCCTCTAGAAGTATGTTTCTCAACACAAAATGTATTATAAAGACATATAAGCCATATATAGTCCATGGCTTTTGCATAGACCAGCACCGATAAAAATCGAAAATAAAATATATTGGTAATAATCTCACGAACTAGAACTAGAGAGCAACAAAAATGATTATATGAAATCTTCTCAATTTTGAGCGCTGAGCGATGGCACAGCAAATGACAAACACTTTCTAACCTATTTCTAATATGAGGAGAAATAAATTGATAAGTATTACAAATACAATACGCTACCATGTTCTTTTGTAGGAAGAAGAAAGTTACTAACTTCCTCTATAAGTCGGTGTACTGTCATAAAGTTTATATTATTAATTGTTTATTATTTTATTTTATAAATTTTTTTTATCTACACATAATTTTATTCATTGATACTTTATCTAAACACCACCTTTCCTAACAGTTTCTTAATAATAAATAATTTCCAACATTTCTAATAAATCATTAAGAAAATATAAAAAAATAATGTTAAACTTTTTCAATTATTGCATATATTCAACTATAGCCGTTAAAAACATGTGATCCGATAATTATTAAACTTATTAAAGCAAAAACTTAAAATTGATTAATAATATCAAACAGATCATTCATCTCAGCACAAAGACTTCAATCACATCAAATAAAACGCGATAAAGCCTATATAATAGTACTTGTATATATTAAAAAAATATTTATATATATATAAATATATACGTATATATGTATGTATATGAAAACTGTTATCAATAAAACAAATGAACTATTAAAAATAAACAAACTATTCTGTTTTTGCTATACCATTATAATATTGTATATACATACTAATAAATATAAATGCTTAAATACTTAAGATCAGTGAAACTGCTACAATCATTGTAACAACTATATATTTAATATTTATACATATACATAATAATTTAACAATATTTACCTTTGCTGGTTATAGTGCTATTACGTAGGTTGACCATTTGTAAAGATGTGCGGTTGGGATCTTCAAATAAATGAACAAGGCTGTCATCAATATGTCGATTAAAACGTTGATAAGCATCAAGTAAACGATCGCATATATCATTTGGTATAACAATGTCATCGTAGAGTCTGCGCACTTGATCTTTCTCAGAGCGATAACTAATTACATCTAAATATTTGCATATATATTTATAGACGATTTCTTGCAATGTTAAGGGATCCTCATCAAGAATACCATTCGCCTTTAAACGAACTTTCCCGCTCATCTCGAGGAATATTTCAATTTTGTTCTTGGGCTCTTTCTGAAATTTTAATTAAAAGTTATAATTATGGTATATAATTTAATTAAAAATATATTATATATTATAATAATATTGTATTCATATTATATATTACATATTATTTAGTTGATTAAAATTTGTACAAAAAGTTGTTTAAAGCTGATCGATCATAAGTAAAAATTGGTTAACTTCCTATTTTCATCGTTTATATGTTGGATCATAAGGACCAACTGCTTTCATATCCGACTTTTTATCATTCAATGAACTTTATGAAACTACAATTCAGTTGGTCTTTATGTAATTGTAATTATATGTAATTACGAATATATGTGTCTACAAAAGAATCTAAGGAATAACATAGATGATACTCATATAGTTACAAAAAGTCTTCCAGATATAGATACACATTTTTTAAATGTACAGCTATATTCCTTTTAAGGTAATTAGAGTATATTATATGTATTTGATAGGAATAATATGTCAATACTATATATTGCTTGAATTAATAAAACAAAACTTAAGCATTGGGTAAATCCAAATACATTATTTATAAACTATATAAGAAAATTGAAAGAAGATAATTCTTCGCGGTTTGTCTGCAGTTCTTATTCACTGTATATATCTTTGAACGAATAATTTACATGTATAAAATAATAGTACCGTGTGCTAATAATAAAAATAAATCATTATATTAAATATGCAATTCTTATTCACTGGGCTTGGAATGGTATATATTGTAATGAGTCGCATATGGTTTGAGATCAATAGTGACGCATATAGTATATATCAAAATAGTGAATATTTTATATAAATCATTATAATCAATATAAACCATGATTGTATTTATAGTCCTTATTTAAGACTTGAGCTGGTATAGATCTTGGTATAGTAAATACATATCTTTAAACAAATAACGTTAGATTGTAAATCAATATTGAATCTGAAGTCATACTAAAGATAACATTTGTTGATATGTCTATAGTCTTTATTCATTGATTTACTAATTATACTTTTTTTCACAAACGAGTTTCAATTCTGGAGCTATAATAAACAGTCGTAATAGTATATGTAAGTTTTGGTGTTGTGTCTGAAATAGCAATTGTATATAGCGTACAATGAATGAGTAACGTAAAGTTTAAGTTCAATAATGACACGTAGTAATTTTATAAATCATGGTTGGTTGGTGTCTCTTCCTGTGTCTCTGTCTAGGACTGCAGACAAGGCGACTTCAATGTCTTGGGGTTTTACTGTCTTAAAATAGAGATAACTAAAGCATCGGATCTCTTCAACTTCATCTGGAAAACCAAATGGTTTAATAAGGATAACAAAGGTAATACATGCCTCCGAGTGTAAATGCTGCCAGCACGCCAATAATACCAATATCTGAACCTAACCTAACCTTGGTTGATAGTGACACAGTGATAATGATGATGTGTTCATAATTTCTTATTCACTAAGGTTGCAATGGAGTATATCTTTCCATGATTAGCGCACGGTTGTATTTCGATAATAAAGTGTAGTAATAATTAAGATAGATCATATTGATGTAGCCTATACTTTTAGTCATTGACTTAACAATTCTATATGTGTTTAAAAAAATGGTATATGACTGTAGATTGATAGTAACGCATATGTATAATAATTATAATCTCGGTGGTGTATCTGTAGTGATGTAGTGATTTGATAAGACAATAGTACACTCTATGTGGATAGAAACGTGTTGTAACAAATCACTGATAAATATCAATAAAATTCAGTGTCATAATGATTCATATTAGTTTTTAAAAGTGGGATTATGACTGCTTTAAAAATTCATTTCGTTTATTCATGTAATCACTAGCTGCAAAATATTTACTCGATGCCACATAGTTTTTGTTATTTTCAATATTTTATATTTATATAGTATTAGTATAAAATTATAATCTTTTGTCATAAGAATATCTTTATATTAGACAGATTTTTATAAAGTGTTATTATAGTCTCCTATTAACGGAATATATTTATATTATATAGCTTTTTGCAGAGTATTCTTATAGTCTTTATAGAGGTATTGTTATGGTCCATAGTTAACTGAATCTGAAGTTAAGGTATAACATAATTTACCATTTTTTTATCATTTGTTAATAACACTTCTATTAATTTAGTCTTCTTCCAAATCTTCTCTATAGTATAGAATCCAATGGAACAAATATAAATGTTAACAGAAAATTAATCGAAAACAAAAAGAAATTAATTCCGCAGCGCGTGGCAATTTTCAAATCATCTAAATTACGTCATTAAAAACAGAACTGTAAATAAAATTTATTATTTATTTTTTATTTTACGAAATCCACTATGCTTTGAATAGAAAAACTGTATCAATTTTAAATTTTAAATTAAAATTAAATATAAATGATTTTTAACAAAATGTTAACGTGTTTCGAACACAATTGTTTTAAACTCATATATATTAAATTTTAATATAAAAAAATGCTGTATATATCACAAATTAGGTCAAAGCATATTTTTTAAAGGAATTATCTGTGCTCCACTTGAAAAGTTTGCGTAGACCTCAAACAAAACTTAACCTTTGTTGACACACCTACGAGCACTCCACCTCAAACGTTTATTTCCATGAGGAAATGCAATTAATTCACTTTTATTTATGCAATTAGTCAATAAGTTGTTCATAATTTATAATTGCAAGCGCAAAATGTTTGCAAACAAAATAATTTACATAAATGCATAAAGGGAAGTAGAGCAAAAAGCACTACTAAGCACCAAGAAAAGCAAAAAGCAGTGTGCGCTTGCAATCGTTTGGACAGTTGAAAACTTGCTTCAGCAATCAAGGCAAGGCCAACAACTTAGCAAAATATTATACATGTTTGTTCGATTTATAGTTTATTAATTATTACTGCAACAGTAAACAACTTTTACTTGTAGAGAGAATGTATATCCTTTTATTGTTATTTCAATTATAACTCACTTTATCCCAGCAGAAGTGTTACTCCTACAGCGTAGCTGTATTTCTTTTACTGAAATTGTCAAATATTCAATATTGTTTATTTTTCTGTTTATAAACAAATTATAGAATTTTTTAATTTTATCCTTATTTGCTCAACGTTTTTGTTTTCCAGCAACTTTTTTTTTCACTATCGAGTTAATAATTCACACCAAAAAATACGCTTATAAATACTTTTATATAGCAAATTTTTTATATATTTAGTTTTTTATAATGTTTTCATTTGTTTGGCGTTCAATAATTCTTTCAACTATTATGAAATATTGTTTATTTATTACGATTTTCAAACAAATAAAAAAACTTATCAAGTAATGGGTGAAATTTTTGTTGCCCATTCTCTACTGTTCCGTTTCATTGTTGACATTTTCTCTATCATATGGTTGAAGAGGTATGTTCAGTGTTAGAAAATTTATATAAATCGATTGCTGTGGAATTTAATTATCAGTTGAGTTTTTATCAATTTAGGACGTGAGCGAGTTAGGCTAAGGTCGTGTGCGAGTTAGGCTAAGTTGATGCTAAACCAAATGAGACTTTTCTTGGGATTTTTTGCACTGCACACATTTAGCCATTTATCAACACGTATCGACACATCACTACATTATCGGCACAACTTAGAATTTCCCTCTATTAGAACGCAACTTAGCCTAACTCGCACACGACCTAAGTTGGGTTCTAAATGAGGGAAATTCTAAGTTGTGCCGATAATGTAGTGATGTGTCAATAGCTGGTGATAAGTGGCTAAATGTGTGCAGTGCAAAAAATCCCAAAAAAACGCACATTTGGTTTAGCATCAACTTAGCCTAACTCGCACACGTCCTTAGCCTAACTCGCACACGTCCTTAAAGTTGGCAAAAAAATTTCCATAAAACTTTATATGAAAAAAAATATCTACAGTATGAAAATTCTGTAGAAATTTGTGTTTTTTATATTAAGTTTTTTCTCAATTCTTCGTAAAATATTTTATTAGTCATTTTCTATATTATGAATCATTTTAAAAAATAACAAAATTACTAATATGTTGAAGTGTTAAATAATTTTTATCAAACACCTGTAACGTATGTTATACTATATTTTAATATTCATTGATACAAAAAGCTTTTGTGCCTTTTAACTTAAACGTATAACACATATTCATTTGTGTCATATAAGGAATTTTACTTATTACAGCCGTTAATGATGATCATTTATCATACAAATTTCTTTCATATATATGAAATCATTATAAAAAAATCAACTGATTTAAACCGAAAAATAATATTCCGACAAGAGAAATGAATAAAATTAAAAATATTTGTCATATGTTTTATATATAGAATGTTAGCAAACAATCTATTACACATGCATAAATCAACTTATATCAATGGAAATGACCAAATCTTAATTTCATTAACATAAGTGGTGTGAGCTGCAGTGGCAACATGATATAAGTCATAGCACATTCACACTGTTTCATTTAATCACTTGCTCATTTATATTAATGAGTGAACGTTCACTTTATAATGAGCTCATTTATGCAACTGATAGAACTTTTATAAACTTCACTTAATATAACATCACACAAAAAAATTAAATATATAACTGACATATTAAATCAATTTATATACTTTTTTTATATCAATTCCATATTCAATTAATAAAAACAAATATTTTATTAAATGCTTACTTTCTCAGTGGCTTTATTTACAGCTCAGCTGATGTTTGTTTACACTTTACATATATAATTTATGACACATATTTCAAACTTTCGTCATTTCTCTTTTGCGGAATTTATTTTTAAATATTACATTCGACATTTTTCGGCTCAAAAGAGCTAATTTATTGATAATGAACTCATTTATATGAAAGCACTTGTTAAACGTTTACAAGTTTAGCATGCTAAATCAAAATAGTGAAAATACCTATGCTTTTAATAATGATCAGGTTTTGCACCATAGCCGAAAGCAAATCTGGAGAAATTATGCTAAAAGAATCATAAAACGAAACAAGAAGCTGGAGATACTAGTCGATGCTAGTAACTGGATGCACTTCATTGAAGTATAGTGAAAAATATTTAGGAGATTTATCGCTCATAGTTAATACTACAAAAGAAAGTATTGTGCTAGTGGGTTGTAAGTAGAGTGAAATATCATATAGCAGTGTGAAATACCGCCGGACGAATATTTCACAAATGATTTTAAACCATAAGAGATGAACGTAGATGAGAAGGAGTAAGACTCTTTGCTAATAGAAAATAAATTTAACCTTAGGGTCAAACTTTTATAACTCTAAATTAAGCATAACAAGTTATCTTTCTACTATTCAATTATTCGAGTTTAGCAATTATTCGAGTTTTCTTCTATAGTTCTTGGCAAACATAAAAATAAACCATTTTAAGTTTTTTTTTTGTTTTAAACTTTATTTGCTTTTATTTTTTAAATTGATAAATAAACTATATTAAATATATTATAATATATTATTAAATATATTATATATGTGATATATATATTAGTACAACTTCACTTTTGAAACATATATATATATTTTTTAAACTAATGCATACATCTTTCTATAAACACATATTCTGAAACTGGTTAACATTAAAAATTAAAAAACATCCAAGTTATTTCATAATAAAAAAGGTATATATAAATATATATTATATATATATGTGTGAAATTTATAATGTGTATATCTAAAATTTAAATGTTTATACTAATTACAATATTTTTTAAAAATATTTAAATAATTATGCGCAGCGGCTATTTTTGGACAATACAAAATTCGGAAATCGCACATGAAGATTTGACAGCGTAAACCGCTTATTTTCATTTTTAAACTGTCAAAATATGTAAACAAGGCAACAAATATTTTTTATTGTTGTTAACAGCAGTGATTATTATTTTTTAACTGATTCTGAAGATTGTTATATATATGTTGCATATTTTCACTACATATTTCCAACGGAGTTGCTGAATTAAGCGGGTTTGAGATATCATAAAACAGTATGTGAATTTTTCTGAAATATAAATTATAAAATTTAACGTGTTTACGATTTAAATTAAATAACATTGTAATAATGCGTTGGACAACATTATTTAATCGAGCTTTTTGAAAATGTTGTTTTTACTTACAATTACTGAGTCTAATTGGTTGAGTACCTAAAACTAAACGCCAGTTGTACAAACAGTTGTGCGGAATAATTATGATACTGTGAACGAAATCATAACTTTATATAATTTGTAGTTTATTTTTATATAAAACATTTATTTTAATATATTTTATCATTTCAGCATTTTTGCATTTCACTGCATTAAATTGGTTACATCGTACGAAACATGAATTCGGTTCAGCCTTTGGAAGAATATCTCACAGATATGGTTATACCAGAGAAGCGAAACGCAGTTAAAATTTTACCAGATCATGTCACAATGCTACATGGTACAAAAAGCAAGAAACAACATACAGAGAAGAAACGGCGTAAAACGAAATCAACAATCATGACTAGACGAGAATATGCCAGTCTGGGTTTATTTACATTACCAACACGTCAATTAAAATACAAGGAATTCTTACCACTACACCAACTGTGGAAAGGATATGCACAAGAACATCTTGGTTTGAACGAAGGTGATACAATTCCTCAATTGCACGAACCCACATATGATGCTTTTAGTAAATTACTAGTGAAAATGGATTTGCATGGTGCAAACATACGTGTGATCGAGTCAAAATCTTCAACTTTACTGGGTTTAGCAGGAATTATTGTGTTGGAAACTAAAAATGTGTTAAAAGTTCTAGGCGAAGATGATCATTTACGTACAATACCAAAAAGTGAATGCAATTTCGGCATGCGTTTAGGAAATATTGAGTTCACTATATTTGGCAAACATTTAACTATAAGACCTGCTGAACGTTCGGTTAAAAAGATTAAAACACTAGTAGAACCTTTAAAATTGTAATTGTTAATTATTTTTATAATAAGTATAATAATAAACCACTTTGAAATGAAAAAGAAGTATTTTCAATTATTGAATTTATTAAGGCATTATCTATACTTAAAATCTAAAACACTTGTTTTTTGTTTTGTTTTTACAAAAGTGATGAATATATTTGTAGCTGCTTTGAAATTCCAATAATAAATATAATAATATAAAAATTTTTATTAAAATATATTCATATATTTTCCATATTATTTTTAAGAAATTATTTATGACTAACTCTTTGGAGACAATAGTTAAAAACTAACATTAAATAATTTTTAAAATGATTATATTTTTGCTCGTTTAAATTAAAATTTAATTGATAAACAAATTAAATTCGTTAGCGTGTGTTTAAAGGATTTTAAAAATTTCAAAATATATAAAACTTGTATTAATTTATTTTTAAGCTGAATTAAAGATTTGTAATATAAACAAATTATGTTGCCTTAAAATCTACACAAATCAACAATTGTTTTTTATATTTTTGCAAAGGATAATAATTGGGAATATTTTTAACTGAAATAGTTAATTTATTTATAATAAAGTTAGAAAGTTAAATTAAAGTTAGAAAAACTTTCATAATAAAATAACATTGATTCTAAATGGCATTGGCCATTCAAACATTGGCAGTTTGAATTTAGTTTAAAATGACATAAATATGTATATGTATATATTCATAAAATTTACCAAAAAAATATGTTTAATAGAACTTTATGTGTCTGAATATAATTAATTATAAAAATATATATTATGCACATATATTTTTAATAATTAATAATACAAATGGAAATTAAATATAATTTGTTCAAATAAATTTTTTTTTATCTTTATACATGTTACACAGCAGAAAGTATATATATTTTTAAAATGCATAATATATGAAAATATAAATATTTATACTGATGTTAAATTGGGATAAATAATTAGTTTTAAATAACAATTCTTTTTAGTAATTTGCATAATTAAAAATATATATACTTTTAAAATACAGAAGGATATGTATACTTTTACTACGTTATATGTTAACATATTTCATTAAATATTTATTTATGTTTATTTGATCTTTTTTATATGGGCAAAATAAAATTTTGTTAAAAATAATAGCAGCATTTTTGGTTTGAATTTAATCTGAAAAATATAAGTCAAACTATTTATCGTAAGATGATTTAATAACTGAAAACGTTTCATTTATTTATTCCCAATTTATTCCCAATTGCAATAAAAAGTTAGAGAGTTAGAATTTCATTAATTTAGAAAAATGATTTACTATATACAATTTTAATTTAAAATAATGCAATTCAATTTTTTTTTTATTAATTCATATTTAAATTACCACACATTTTTTAAATCCTTTTTGCAATTAATTTTGAAAATAATAGATACACTATTATTGTTAATAAGAGCAAATTAATAATTAAACCAAAACCCTGGAAAAAAATTTTTTTATGGAAAATATGTATATAATTAATTAATAATAAAAACCAAATAGAATTCTTTTCCAACTATAATAAGTTTTTTGCAGCAGATATTTCCCCTTCGCAGCATTATTGTTGTTACTTAGTTTTTCTTATTAATATATACATTATTATTTTTTACAATTCAATTCATATATGTATTTATATTACATATATATATATATATTTGTACATATTTATTTTTATATATATAAATTTGTTTTTATAAATGTGTTTTCAAAATTTTGAAAAAAAAAACTTTAAAAGTTATTATCAGTCAATAGTTTTGTTTTGAACATATTTTACTTAGATAAATACAGATAAATCTGAAACATTGTGTTTAACAGATGAAGTATAAAATTAAGTAAGTAAAAATATTAAGTACATATGAAAAGTGTTAACTTCAATAGTAAATATTATTTCTCATTTAAGTGATAAATTCAGTTTCAATTAAGTATACAAATTGCATTTTTAAACATTTTTATAAGTATTAAAACCATATCCACATATTCTGATTTATCTGCATTCATTTTATAATTCATTAATTAACTTCATTTCAATTAACTTAAAATTAATTTACTAAATTAAGAAAAAATAATCATAAATTTGACTGCTTACAAATTTTCCAATTATTAATTAAAATTCTACTATTTCTATTTATTTTTACCATATTACAACTGAACAATGTGTTTATATTTGGTGGTATTTGATAGTAAAGTTTTTCAACAAATAAATATACAGTAAAATCACTCATTACGGACAATCCTTATAACCAGACAGCTTCAAATTGCGTGGATGTAGTTCTTTCATTAATTTTTTCATATAAATATTAAACCAATATTCAGACACTTAAATAACTAATAAATTTTAAAAAATTTGTATTTCCCCATAATACACATCCCATTTGTATTGGGTTGTTGAGAACGAAATTGGTGCTTCCTCTGTAATCATTCATGTTAAAATTTGCTCACATTCATCTTTTAAGTCTGAAATACAGGGCGGCTTTGTTATTCAATTTGTTAAATAATTTACATGTGAATAGTGTTTTTATAAAGTTGTAATTACTTGACACCAAGAAAAAAGTACTGTCCCATCAAAACATAAATAGAAATATATAGGAAAATAGAAATATATAGAATAATAGAAAATTTATCTTTTTCGAAAACTATTAACGTTTTCGAAAAAGATAAATTATCTATGCATAAAATTCCGCAAAGGTAAAGTTAGCACCCTTAAAATATAAATTTATGCAAAATGTTTTGTTTCGAAAGATTCAATATTAGAAACACACAAGCTACAGAAATCAATAAAAATAAAAAACAATCCGTTCTAAATGGATATCTGGAGTAAATACCTTTACGTTCTCAAAGAAGGTGATTCTGAATAAGACAAAATATGCTTTGTTCAATGCGCTAAGGTTAGAAGTCAAAAAACCTGGTACCAATATCTGGCACTATTGTAAATGCAAAAGCAATGGAAATATAGCAATCAAATTAGATGTATCTAATTATAATGCTTCAGATGGATGGTTAAATAAAAGGTGTATAAGGAATAACGTGGCTTTTAAGTAGATAACTGATGAATATGCAAAAATAAATCGAGAGGATTCAGGGTTCCAAGATGTAGTTCAAAGCGGGCTTTTCTTTCGTATATTAGCTGATCAAACTCTCACTCTCAAATCAAAAAGTGCATTGGCAGCAAATTCTCTAAAGAAAGCTTACAATTTTGTTTCATGCAAACATGACTGGAGAGAAAGATCTGTTTTTAGTTATAGGTAAAGCAGGCACGCTCTAGATCATTCAAATATATTGCTACCACAGAATTGCAGTGAATTGGAAATCTAATGAAAAAAATATGAATAAGCGAAGAAGTAATAATGCTCCGAGATAACGCTACGTTTCATTCAAGAAATTTAAACTGAATTGATACTAACATTGATTGTTTGTGTCCAAACACAAGAAAAGTAAACCAACCCATTGATTAAGGAATAATCCAAAATTTAACAATTTTTTACAGCGACACTGGAAGTTCAGTTTTAGAGTTTAGCATCAGCCAAAATTTGTTAATATGCTTGAAGCCGCTTATTTCTTCAAAGCATCTTAGAATAAAATGGAAGCAATAACAATCCAAAACTGCTTCCATAAAGCAGGAATTTCAGAAATTAATCGGAATTTACCCGATTTTGTTCATAGATATAACATTCTGCTGGCAATTTATACTAAATATCAAACAGCATTCGATTTAGCAAATGATTTCAACGGTTTTTTTCAAATATTATAGATAAAAATGTATACATTGGGATAACAATGTAAAAATTTAATTTAAAGATTAAAGAGATATTGCGAAGGTAACTGATTCAGAAGAAAAATTGAATGAGTCTATAACATCAAGCGATGAGGAGGCGTTAAAACTTGTTGCACATTTGAAACAATTTGCAAAAATTATTTATAAAATAAATTAAACAATAAATGTTCAGTAATCAACCATTATAAATTTTGTTACAGGCAAAGTAGTATTTTTGAAAATAACTATAGACTGTAGTCGAAGTTAATTCAACGCAAAAAATATATTTCTTAAAACTAATTTAAATAATCATTGACCATAAGAACATTGAACATTGACCATAAACGAGAGATGAACAAGAACACTGCGACAGTGGGTGTTAGGTTATGTAGAATTTCACTGTATATTTTGTAGATAACCTGATCATTTACAATATATGCAGAATTTGTGTTATTTTTAAATAGTTTTATTTTATATTATTAAATATAAAATTTTTTGTTTTTTTTTTTTATATAGTGGTTTCATATATTTTGTATATTATATATAACAAAGTAATATATATATATAAATTTTTTGGTAAAAATTATAAAACAATTTTCATTTAAGTGTGTACAATTTAGAGTTAACTCGATTTTTAACAAATTGAACATTTTCATTATAATTGTTAAATTATAAATATATTGTAATCTTCATATATTAATTCTAATTATTTAATTTTAGTTTTCATATTTTAATTCTCCCCAATTGTAATATTTATATTTTAACAGTTATTATTCAATATTTTTTTTCCAATTGTCATAATTATTTTTAAATATTAATTAATAATTTTCTTTTCCTATAATAATTAAAACAAACTTCATTTAAAAATAACACAGCCTCATATGTATGAATTCATTTTTAAATATTTGTTCTGCATAACTAAAAAGCAAAATAGTTAGAGCATCTACACAAATAAATTATTATAAAGTAAATGTGTTAATATTTACAATCCTTTCTAAATTAAGTGCATTAAATTATTTATTCCAATTACAATTAATTCTTTTTAAAAAAATATAATTTTAACTAATATATAATAAGTTTGAGCCGCATATAATTTAGAATATTTGCTTTTCTTATACACATTTTATGTATTCTAGTATTGCTAAAATTTTTAGTTAACTTTTGATGCTACGGTACCGATATACGCTAGTATGATTAGTACACATAATTTCATTTTTAAAATACGCCCCAATAAAAAGCCCGAATACTTACTAAACGTGCGTAGTTATTTAAATAATAAATTCAAATTAAATTAAAAAATAACCAAAAATTGTGTAAACATTAAATAATTCAGTATAAATCGTCATCGGCGATTAGGTTAATTTTATCGTCCTCACCTTTCTTGGAACTATTCTTAAAAGATTTTTGTATAAGTTTGGGGTCAAAGCATGGCTGCAATAGAATATAAAAATATATTAATAATATTAATTTTATAGATAAACATAAAGCTTATGCATACCGTTTCACAAATATTCATATTACAGCAATTTTCTATTGTAATTTCACATTGTTCAGTTGCCATTGGTCGATTTGTTAGCGGTGTGTCTGAAGCAGGTGCATTTTTTCTAACTACAAAGGTTTTCTTTATTTGCGGTCGTAAAGGTTTATAGAAACGATGTATTCCTTTTACAATCAAAAACACTAAAGCCAAACAAGCTACGATGCCACATATTAACACTATAATAACAGAGCTAGTCCAAATATCTGCTCTTCTACATATATCATCAAAGTTTTCATGAACTGTTATATCAACAGCTTGGCAACTACAATAAAAGAAATATATTAACAACTACTTTAACTAGTTTATTCATAACAGATTTAAAAATTAACTTACTAATTATTGCACTGGTAATCATTTTCTAAAGAGGCACGCTCTGTCAGAGGTATTTTACAGTACAATGTACACAATTCCTTCGTCATGTTTTGATTAATTTCATTTGTTTCCTTTTTTTCTACCGGGTGCTTTGTGGTTACCTCTAAAGTATCTTGCTCTAGGTACATATTATGAGACATCATCCTTTCTCGAGTGCATCTAATTAAAATATAATTTGTTATAAATGAGATCATCAGTTGTAAAATTAAAACCACACAATACTTACTGACAATTGTAACCGTTAACCACTTCGCTCCTGTCATTAGGGGGAATATTACAGAACAGTTCGCAAATCTCTTCCTTATTTTGCTCACAGCGATTGCCAGGAAAAGTATTTCTGCAAGTGCATGTAGGGTTTCCATAACTATCCAACTTACATACTCCGCCATTCATACAATATTGATAACAGAGCTCAAATTGACAGCGGTTACCATTATAGCCCTTCGCACACTGACACTTTGGACCATTATCATAACTGCATGAGCCACCATTTAAACAAAAGTTTTGGCACTCATTTATTTGACAATTACTACCTGTGAAACCACGATTACATACACAGTAGCGACTGTTTTCGTTATATGTTCCTCCATTAAGACATGAATTTTTCAAATAAGCATCCACGTCACTTTCGGTTTTACTACTTTTAGGCATATTTATTTGTTTCAATATGGCATCGCAATCCCTGTCACCTTTTAAATATTTTAAATAATGTGTGCGTGCCACAATATCATTTGGGTAATCTTTATCAAACGTTAAAGTAGTTTCAAGGGTATTATTATTATTTTTCAAAATACTTTTGATAGTCTTTGAATCCGTCCAATATATTTTATCGAACGTTACTGCAAGTTTTCTTTGTTCAAGCGTACCTTCTTTTTCAAACAATATTCGACGATCAGTGCCATCTAACTTAGCGCTCTCTATTGTGTAACGATTATTACGGTGTCCACTTATCCAATATAAACGATGATCAAATTGATCAACAACCATACCATAAGCCATAGACAAGTCATCATTTACTATCACTTTGCGATTACTTCCATCAAGATTGCTACTTTCAATACTAGCACTCATTATATTCAAGTCACTCCAATACAGCTTACGCTTACAAAAGTCTAGAGATATGGCACTGGGATATGCATAATCATCATGAAAAGAGATAATTGCAGCTGGTTGTTGTTTATTAGAAGATTTAACACCCCATTTATAGATTTTAATACTCTTTGAGTCAGTCCAGTAGAGAATTCTTTCTAAGGGGTCGTAAGCAATACCATTTATTTCTTCCTCTTGTGGCACGTTACGAACAAATGTTTCTCGTGTTTTATCTTCATCATCCAGTTGTAGAGAGAAAATGCTAATATTTTGTACTTGACGATCATTGAAATAAATTGTTCCTTCAGCTTCATCAAATGTTGAGGCGGTTAAATGTGTGAAATGATGTAAATCCGCACATATTATTTTCCAATTTATATCATAAAAGAAGACTCTGGTGTTGGTAGTGACGGCAAATTCTAAAAAAAAAATATATTTAACATTTTACAATTTAATAAATAATAACTCTTAAAAATAAAAGTAATTTACATATATTATTTAAGAATTATATTGTTTAAAAATGATCAAAATAAATTTCTTTCTAGAAAGGTCTTCAATCCAAAACTTGCTTTTGATTTTATTGAATTTTATATTACAGAAGCCGTCACTTGACATATCTAAAATCGCAATACCTACAATAAAATTTAACTTAATAAAATAAATTTATTCAGACGTCTTAATAAGAAATAATTCCAAGATCACTTATGAATGGGTATTTGACAATACCCAAAACAGCTGTATGGTCAGCCAAACATAAAATTTCACTTAACAATGGTTATTCTTTGGAAATACCCACATGTTCCTACCAAGAGAGTTTCTATTATAGGGGTGCCTCAAATTAGCAAGAGAGTATGTAGCTTTTTAGAAAAATTGACCTTCTCTAAATTTTTAACGCTTAATATTACCTAAAAGAGAGTTATTTCCAACCAGCAAATTATGATTTGATTAAGCATGGTTACATGGAACATGGAGAAACTTGGACAAACTTGAGTAACTTGAAGGGCCTCAATCAAGCTCCCTTAAAGAAATGTCGACAAAGTGAGATATTATTAGTAACTCTAACAAACCTGACCAAGCTAGCTAGACTAATAAATAGCATAAGAGACATCTAAAATACATCTGCATAATATATACAACAATTGCCTCAAACCCTTTTATTTTGAATACAAGCGGAAAAACTCGACCACTTGTAGAAATCTTTACAAGAACCAATTTTTTTTTTTAATTCTGACTTTTTTGTTTTTTTTCTTGTTTGTGTGACTGGGAAGAGGCGAATGCCTACACACTGATCTCGATCCGGCGCCGGAAGGTGAGTGCTGAATTCTAGACTATTGAATTGTTGTTGTAATCAACTACGACCTGTAAGCAAATAAAATAAAAAGATAAACAAAACGATAACATAGGTGGAAAAATGGATGGGTTATGGGGTGGTGAATGAGGATAAGGGGTGGATTGTATGGGTGGGATTTATTGAACATTAAGCCGGGTCCAGATGGAGAAAACTGGCCACTTCAATGGTGTGAATTCAAAGGTCAATTGGACAAACATATGTGTGTGTTATAACACAGGAGAATAGATACATCATGGAGAGTAGAGATACAGTTTGGGCACACATTAGGAATAGACGTGTTTATGCGCGACAAATAACTGTTATATATTCTGATCTCAATTGAGCTAGGACAGTTCTTGCTGCACAGGAGACACATCATTCTTCTAGGGAGATGTTAAGCGGAGCAAACATATATTAATACTTTGTATCATATATTATACTTTATATTAAAAATATATAGCCCACAAGGATCTATAAAGCAGATAATATGAAAGGAAATAAAAGGACATATTTAAGGACATATCATTACACTTTAAAAAATAAAGTATAAAGAGTAAAAAATGATCACTTTTCAGTTACTAAATACTGTTTTATTCATTTAATACATACTTGAAATAATTTCTTTTCAAAATTTGTATAATTAGTTTATATTTGATAACTATACTATAATTTATAAAAAAAGTCTCACGGAAGAGGTTTTTAAGCACATTAAATCTATATTGAAGTATATTATTTTATAATTAAAGTTAAATACTTTTACATTAATATTGATAAGAAATTTTAAGTATTTGTTTTCAATAAGTCCAAGTCTACAAGTGCATGATTTATTTTTATAGATAATATATACGCATCATTTATAAATACATCACTTTAACTATTCTTACATTACGTACACCAATATGCTTAGTTCTACAATCTGTAGTAATTATACAATTAATTGCTGTTAAGTGCTTTCTTTAGATACTTAAATGTCAGAAAACATTTTTAAAATTTTTTCTAAAAATATCATGGGTTCGTTTATATCAATCGTATAGTTCCTAGAAATACCACTCAATAATTTTATTGTTGTTCTTGCCGCGTTAGACGATATCAAGATTTCGAAAATGTTAGATGATAATACTACGTACGGAAATTTCATCAGTTTAAAAAAAGAAACAAGTATTATTTATATATATACTTTATTTTTTATATCGATGTTTCGACTCGACTATAGTATCTTATTAAATTAACCAATTGACTTTTACTTCAGAGAAGGACAAACTTTGTTTGTATTTTTTGACAGAAGACGATATATTTACTTCAGTGAATAAATATAAGACTGTTTCACATTTAAAATAAATTGTTAAAAGTTTTAGTGATACGTCCAAAGACATTCACTGGCTAGACTCTGCGAACAAAAATTTGTATGTATTTGGGAAAAAGTGAAAATGTATGCAAAAATCTTGTTAAAGTCTAGGTTAGGTAAATGCTGGTTCAGCTGAGATTTTATATTCTTCTTTTTTTATTTAATATCTTGTGACAATTGATAAGCTTTCGATCATTTTTAGTTAAAAAAAACTATTGTTCACCATCAATAATTATGACTATTGATAGTTTGTCACTGCTAACAACCAGCTAGTATTAAGATAACAAAATACAATAAAGTTGTATATAAAAGAAAGACATATTATCATAGACATATTATGACATTTTAAACTGTATAGTATTAACTTAATAGGAACTATTAACTTATACGTATAAGTGCTAGAATAGAATAGAATAGAAATAAACGGGGTACAAGCTCCCAATGGAGCAGAGCACTGCGACCAGATTGATCTTTTGTGCTGCAACTGACCGTAACCGAACAGAAGACATTCCGCTTTTCGAATGAAAGCCAGAATGTCGTCCGTTGAGGACCTCCTAATGTCAGAAGAAGAGAGCAGCCCTCGTCCCAGTGACCTAATCCTTGCCCAGATCAAGGCTGGGCAGTCACAGAGAATGTGACTGGTAGTCTCGTCTGCTTCTAGAGTCTTCTAGAGAGTCGACAATCCGTCTCCTCGGACAGACCCATTTTATTAAGGTGATAACGCAGTCCATGGTGACCCGTTAAATATCCCGCCAGCAATCTCAAGTCTGATCTGCTAAGGAGAGTTGCCTTGCCATAACTATATGGGTGAACCAGCTTTTTAGCCTGACGGTTACCTCGATTGTCGCGCCAGTAGCGATCTTTCTCGGCTAAGATCCATTTATCAGGTATCTACTAGTTGTAGGTCAACTTAATCCACAATAGGTACGTATAAGTACTAGCAATATTGAAAATTCTTTTAAACTAGCAACGCTCTTTACCCTGATTAAACCGAAACATTAAAACTTCTGGAGACAATAAACTATGGCATTTGCCTTGGCGCATCAAAAAGCCAAGGAATATGATTTATAATTGCTTATAACTTCAATTTTTTACATTACAATACCAATTCGGAAAGTTCTAAGTACTATGTTTTTACTTTTCAACCTTGAATTTAATGTCAAAACTTTAAGAGTCAATAAACTTTGGTAGTTTCCTTAGCGCATTAAAATGCCAACAACATTAATTTTAATTGACTATACTTCCAGTTTATATGCTATGATAAAACGTTGGAAATTTAATACCAGAACGCCGGTAGATAAAATATTAAGTAAAAATTGCCCACAACTAATTGCTAGTAGGCACATATTTTATCATGTATTACTGATCAATACTGTTATTATCAACGTGACGAGGCACATAAAGGCCTCGTCACCGTGACCAAATTTTATTTGAAATTACCTTCTCTCAATACAAATTTTTTCATTTATATTGAGAACAACAATTTCAGATTTGACGTGACTGCTCATGACACTCTGTATAACATGGCTCTAGGTGTAAGTAGATTTTTGAATGTTATTCGATTCAAAAATCTTATAGTTTTTATAACAAGTTGTGATAATCTATATGCAGTAGTGATCTAATTAATAATTATTAAACATTCAATATTCTTTATTTATCTCTAATAGAACACTTTCAATATTAAAGACCGAAAGCTATAAATGTTTTTTAATTGATAAGATATATATTTTAATTTTTACTAATTTTTAACAACTATTTGAAGAACTTATACGCATAATCTAGCACGTTATATTGGATGATGGAAGATTAGTTAATTTAAATCCAGTGTTTTATAATTTCATAATAATGTTAATAATAAAATTAAATGAAACAAGCATAGAATGAAAAGCAAAAGATATACAATATATACATCTTAATTATATTTAACACAAATACTGTTGTATTCCGAGTATTTCAATAGGGTTTACATTTAAATACTCAAAGATACCCACCAGTTAACTTAGTTACGTAATTCCAAATCTACGAGTACGTCATAGAGTTTGCTTTCTTGCAAATAAGTTCAAATTGTGAAACCTTACAAGTGTGCTTTCTTTTGATAAGAATAATTTGTGGTAGCAACTATAAAGATTTATCTTACCAGAGCGTGAAATTGCCTGTGCGAATTTATAGAAAATTTGTAAAATACTGACGTCATGGAAGAACTTTACGCATTTTTTGTCAATTACTCTTCACTGGAGTAGATACAATTTAGCACAAATTTATTTATTTAAAAGCTTTAACAAATAAAAAAGAGTAATAAAAAACTTCAATTTCATTAGAATACTACATTAAACTTGACATTTTTGACAAGATATTGAATTGGTTTACACTAAATGAACCAATTTGTGTTCAATTTAAGTGAACTCATATATGAAAATGCAACAGTAAATTTAAATTTAACAGGACAGACTCTTCAAAATTCCATTTAATAAAATTGTTTTAATAAAAAACCGAAACACTTGTTTAAATTGGTTTAATTGATTTGCTAATTTTAGCAGATTTTCAACGCATAAGCCACGTTCTTTTTTTTTTTTTGTTTTGCAAAATTTATTATACAGAGTTTTTTGAAAACATACATGAATTACAATAAAATTAATTATTTAAATATATTTATTTTTAATAATAACGCAAAACTAAATACAAAAAAAAAATGAAGTTGATATACAACTTTTAATTTTTATTTCGAGTTCCGTGTACCAAAAGTA